GGATCCTTGGAGAATCCAAGTAATTCCTTAATTTCTCATCAGCCATGCATCAGATTTGACCCTGGTAGGACGGGGAGCAATGAGGACAACCTCTTTGGGAATCATACCATTTGGCGATCGGGTAAAGAAACAATATCATACATATACTTCAGGATAACTAGTTGCTAATGTGAGAGACGTTCCATCTTTCTCTTTCTTTTTGTCGTCGCCAGAAGTATAGCTTACTAAGCTGAGCTCCGCGCTTCGGCAACGTTCCAATGCAGTTCTCTAACCGATAACATCATATCTGTTTATTTCTTTTTCCTTTGCGGTTCAGTTTGGTTTGAGGTACTCGGATCCAGGATGAGTCTCGCCTTTTTTCCTGACATTCTCTGCGCAGCTTCCGATAGCTCTTCTTCCGCCAGCCTCCGCAATGTCCCAACCGCACTCGGGGCCAGTTTCACTAGCTCGATATCGCCCCATTCTCTACCTCTTTACTGGCGTCGCTGCTGCCTATGCTATCCTCTATGTCCACAACAGTATTGTCTCACAAACACCCCAACCGTCGCTCCGACGTCGAGGTGCTGTACGCCGCCCAAGACGAACCGAAGCCGAAGAGCTCGAAATCATTGATACCCCATCCTACCGAGCCATCACCCACCTTGAACAGCTAGAGCGCCAAAATGGCGTTTATGGAACATTCCGCATTGAGACGGAAGATGGCCGGCGCGTGGAAAGTGGTCTTCTGCCATCGCTGCTCGCAACACGCGACCAGCTCATGGAGGAAGTCGGCGTCCCGTCTGCTCACGCGGAGCGCATGCGCGAAATGATGGAGGACACTTTTCTTGAATCTTTCCTTGCGCTCGACTTCCCATCCGCACATGTCCTCGCAGAGGAAAGTCCCGAGAGAACGTACTTGACGGAACAGCTCCAACACCGTGGTATCTCCCGAGCAGGTATTGAACGGGCACTGGTACGGTTCAACGGGGATCAGAACTATGGGGAGGAGCTACGTCGGCGCCGGCAGAATGGTGAACGGGTTACCCTTTCCACTTCCACCTTCCCCGACGTGTCCGCGCCCCCACAGAATGCTGACGGCGCGGAAACGGTAGGGGATGACCAGAGTGTTTTCTCGTGGCGGGATGGAAACAATGACGCCTCACCTACGCGCGAAGGCCAAAATCTTCTGAATTTGCTCTACCACATCGCCGAGGATCAGGCGAGGAGAGATGGCTACATTCATCGTGGGGTTACTTGCAACAGCTGCGGCGCTATGCCGATCCAGGGGATCAGATACCGCTGTGCGAATTGCATTGACTATGATCTCTGTGAGACATGCGAGGCGATGCAGGTGCACATCAAGACCCATTTGTTCTACAAAGTGCGGATCCCGGCTCCCTTCCTTGGAAACCCTCGCCAATCTCAGCCTGTGTGGTATCCCGGGAAGCCTTCGATGCTCCCGCGTAGCCTCCCACGTCCTCTCGCAAAACGTCTCATGAAGGACACCAATTTCGAAAACACGGAGCTCGATGCACTTTGGGATCAGTTCCGCTGTTTGGCAAATTATGAGTGGGCAGATGACCCGAACAAGCTGTACATGGCCATTGACCGCAAAACCTTTGACCGATGCTTTGTGCCAAACACATCTATCCGGCCACCTCCTCCGAGTCTCATTTATGACCGAATGTTCGCATTTTACGACACCAATGGCGATAACCTTATTGGGTTTGAAGAATTCCTCAAGGGTTTGGCCAGTCTCAACAACAAAAGCAACGATGAGAGACTACGACGTGTGTTCCGTGGTTATGACATTGATGGAGATGGTTTCGTCGAGCGAAAGGATTTCCTTCGAGTTTTCAGGGCATATTATGCACTGAGCAGAGAACTTACCAGAGACATGGTTGCCGGCATGGAAGACGATTTCTTGGAAGGCGGTGCCCGTGATGTGGTCCTCGGTAGCCAGCCCATCAGTTCTGCATTCCCTGGCAGCATTCCTTCCGGCGAACGTTCACGTATCGGTGAAGGCAAGCGCATGAACCAAGATGGTGACATGGAAATCATCGACCACGAAGGAATCTTGCGACAGGATGGTGCTGATACTGGTGATCGACACTCGGTTGTGGGCGATTCAGCTGTCAGAGAGCAGTTTGGTAGAGTGCGGCCAATGTTCCCGTCTACACTTCGCCTGGCACCTACTGACTCTGCGCATCGTCCGGGGGATGCAGACGAGGATGAGGATGAACGTGAGGACGACGAGGAGAACGATAATGATGACGACCGTGCTAGCGAGAGCGGGTCAGATCGGTCTAGCTCTTCAGTGGCTAGTGGCACCTGGCCACCAGCTGAGCACGTCCATGAAGAAGACATCATCGAGGCCCTCGGGTCCTATATTCCTCCTCACGAGATTACGGATCCAATTGACCGGGCTCGTGTTGCCACTGCTGTTTATCATAGGATGCGCGATGATGATCAAAGACGGGTGGATGAGACTCGTCGGCATGGGATTGACGAGCGCTGGAGGCGTCGAGCTTTCTACACGGACGAGGAAGATGGTGCCATAGCCCCTGAAGGCTATGAAAGAGACCCGGCTATTGATGACTCGAGTAATGAAGACGATCTTGAGGAAGTCGAATCCCACCCTCCTTCTCCCCGTTCCCGGTCGTCATCCAAGGTACGGTTCCAGGATGATCTGACTGACGACTATGACATCCGATCCAATCCATCGACATCGTCGCGAAGCATTCCTGTTGGTGAACGATGGGGTGGCTTTGAAATCCCAGAGGTCGAGAGAGATGTTGGAAAGGAGATTCTGTATCAAGTCACGCAGCAAGGCTTCAATGAGCTTCTTGACATTCTGTTCAAGCCACGAGAGGATCTGATGATGGAGGTTCACCGCACCCGCGCTGAACGTAAGGTCTGGGCCCGCGAGATCGAATTGGCAGCAAAGGAGGGACCTCAGAAACGATCCCCCAAGGAGGTACCTTCTGAGGAGGAACTCGAAGAAGCCACCGTTACTCAACCACTCGAGGATCTACTGCAACGCGCTGGATACGCAGTACAAAGCCCAGTCCTTGAGTCTGTCAACGCGGCGCCAGTGCTAGCTCCTCCGTCGTTTGAGGCCACTGCCTCGGATAATGATGACGATGACGATGATACACGACCAACACATCTCAACGATCCCGATGACGAAACCCACCATTGGCGGGAGCAATCTTTTGAATCCGATTCTACATCCACCGCCTCATCTGAATCTGACGATGGAACCATCTCACAAACATCCCATGCTGAACCATCCAGTCCAACTGTTGAAGACATAACGCCAGCCTACGACCCAACTCTCCCACAGCATCGCCCAGACGCGGATACACCCAGTCCTGGCCTTTCCTTCCGTGCTAATTTCTCCCGGCCAGAGTCCGACAACATTTCAGACTCAGCCTCCGAATCATCCCCAAGCACAAGCACAAACCCTGACCTCCCCGCTCAACTCCGCCTCGAACCCCACGGCACAACCTCTCTTCCTGCCCCAGTGTCTCCCCACTCCTCCCCAGAAGCCGAAGCCACAGCCCCGAAGCTTCCCCCTCCCCCATGCAACCACTCCCACCCCCACATCGGGTCAATGATCAGGCTCCTGAATCCGCTGCCCCGCGTCGACCCTCCCCCAAGACTTTGGCCCGGTGGGCTTACCTTGACCAGATTGAGCGTGAGGCCAAGGAGCGTGGTGGCAGCGGTGCAAGACTCAACTTTGAGGAGTTCTCACGCCGTATGGCTGCTGATCGGGGACGTCGTCTGGCCTTTGTGGCCAGCTGGATTGAGATGGCTAGCTTCTAGTTTATCTTATTCGAATTGTATATGTACATTATTAATGGAATTTAGCGGCTCTCGGTGTTTATCCGAATTTGTTAATACTATGATGTCTTCTTGGCGACACTGTACGAAGTACATATATTCCGGACAATGTCTGGCAACTCTTGGCGGTCTCCTTTCGCTCCTCTCGCTTCTGCTCACTGAGTAGAATTTGGGCGTGTAGAATTTGAGCACGCCCCTGATCAACCTGAGCTGGTCAGTGAACATTGTTAAATTGGACAATTTGCCATATCTTAGATTTGACGCTCCTAGGAGCTGTTATGGGGTCCGACTCCAAATTGCAATGAACGGCGATGCTCCATGGACATGGATCCTCTGCAGGAACTCTGCATTAAGCGTGCATTTGGGCCGTGGTTTACGAGGATGATGCAGCTCGTGTCTGCAAAGAGGATTAGCTGGTATCTGTGAAGAGATCCTACCGGGCGATTCGATAGCGAAGCCCTTCGAGTCCATTGTGTTTCGGCCATGTTAAATAGCCTTGGGGAGATGTACAGTAGAATCCCCAAGAATCGGTCTTGTCTTGAATCTGACCCTATTGTTCCTTCCTCAATCACATCTGCTTCTTCTGTGCCCAACTATTTATACATCAGCCATACCGCGTTCATTACTTTATCTAATAATTCATAAAGCACTGAATTTCCGGTAGTCCAGAATATTTGCTTTGTCTTTTGACTACACGACGTGGCTTTCCTCGGCCGTTTAACTTGGGCAGTGCATGCCATAGCATCCCAATATGATCGGACAAGCGAAGGAAGGTAACTGCATGTTAAATTTCTGATTGCGGAGCAAGTAGGCCCCAAAAAGGCTGTAATTGATTTCGAGCTTCTCCGAGCGGCCTTCCCTAGTCTCGACACTAAGCAGATACAGCTCCATCATATAGGTGGCAAGTTCTTGGGTGCTTGAAAGGTGGTCAGAGAGCAGAACAATAAGACAGCAAAGATGAGAAGTTACAAAAAGCGGGTTTGTGGATATCTCTGACCCAACCATGTGTTTATTTGACCATATTGCATGCTCCGGAGAGACCAGGCGGACAGCAGCATCCTGGCATTTGAAGACGTCTTTTCCCAGATCCAAGATGAATTAACTATCCACTTGCTAGGATTTGCAGCTATCTTCTAGCTCCAAGTGCCTGTATTGAGCAGATCCCCAGGCTAGAATTAATGCGCTGAACCTAATTTGAAAGTTTCCACGTCTTCAAGAATCGAACTGACCGTCTCGTCAATCTTGCTCAGGAATGGGCTGTGGCCTGAATCGAGAGTTTTGGTCGTAATTGATGCTCCCGCTTCACGTGCTGCCGCTACCATGGCCTCCTGGACCTGGATGGGGATTGCTTGGTCCTGCGCAGCGAAAATGTACGAGACTGGGACATCAGCCCACCCAGCGTAAATACTTTCTCGGTCTTTCAGTGACGCGGTTGAATGTTTGAGGAGACGACCTTTCCATAGCTGAACACTCTCCTGATCGAGGTCATTGTAAAACAAATCCTCTGGATTACCGTTGTCGATGATTTCCCAGCCGTCCGGAGCCGAATGGTGAAATGTGTCTGACGGATCAATCATGTCATATAGAGAGGTATTCGATGGTGGCATGAATGCACACAGCTGGGTTATGCCAATAACCTTCCCCGAGTTCGGAGTCAGCTTCGACGGGTCCTTTTGTGAGAAGCCCTTCACCGAAGAACAGCCCACAGAGCCCCCAAATGAATGATTGATCAGAATAACATCATTCCCGTTTCCTGTCTCTTGTGCAATAAGGGTTTGGATCTGTGAGATACTGCTGGCGAGAGAATTGACCGGCTGTGCGGTACCACAATTCAAGCTGAGGAGTAAGACAGCGATAGCCATGCTTCTCTACTTCAGAAACCATCCGACCAGCATTCTGCGCTATGCCAGGCACCGCGGACAAATATCAGGGTTGGTGTTGGAGACATAGTGGATGGCTAGGATGGAGTCGAAGTAAACCAGCCCAAGTTAAGGAAGTGCGGGCAGAAGAAAGGCAGTGGTCTTCTTCCAGGCCAGCTCAATGCGGGGATGTTCGACTATAAATGAGTCTGACGGGACCGTTGGAGTCTCAAGTCCCCCTCAAGGCAGGCTGACTGTTTGACTCCCTCTCAACGAGGAGAGTTTATTAAATAGAGTTAGCACTGCGGCAGTCGATAGCGGCAGAGAGTTGTCAAACCTCGCCGCTCGCGGGCTTTGGCTGAACCCGCCCGTAGGTTCTCGGCGAGTACCCATTTATTGACTTACGTCTTCTCCACAACTACATAGGTTGCTGCCGAGGAAGGCCCTCTGCAGATAACTGTATGTGGACGAGCAGCTGCATCGTTTGCAGATTACCAGCCGATCTTGCTTTGGCAGTTCGCCCTTTCGGCTCCAGCTATTGTCGAGCCCTGTGGCCCTTTTTTATTATAGTAAAGATATACTATATACAATTACACGGCACAGATCACTTGAGGCTTGGGAAATAATGTACTTAACACCTCAACTCACGGCCACCCGGGTAATTCTTTTGAGGACTCAACCTCGTACTACCGCTAAGGACACCTGCAGAAGTGTTATGACAAATAGTGCAAGCAGGATGTCAGCCTATTGACTAGGTAGGGGGAATATCCGAGAGATGAGACTGGGTGGATGAAGGATGAAACCGGGGTCTCATGAATACTGCTGGGGTGGATAAGTCCCCCATGGAAAGGGAAGGACGAATTGATGGAAGGAAATGCGCCTTGACGGGCGTCAAAAGAAAGAATTGTTGGGGATAAGACTTATAGCCTCTGAATAGTACGTCGCCACGGATCTTATGGGGGACGTCAAATGGCTTCCACGTCGGATAGATATTGTGGCCCATACCTCGCTAGTATGCCGTAAACACACCGGATTAACCCCCGCCCTTGGTTCATCTACACTTCCCTCCACACTTAGTTATTCTCACGGTTGGACCGGAAGTAGAATCCGCATACTAGTGAATAAAAACTGATTGGTGACTGAGCATGAGCCGCGCTGACATTTACTCAGTGAGCCAGAACCTGATCGCCCTCATAAAAGCGGCGGCAGCCCACACAGGAAAGTCCGACCTGTCAGACATTAACTCCTGTATATAGCTGCATATATATATATCCGTAGCGCTCAATAACTTCGCACGTTGAGACTAAATTGATCCCAAAATTTGCATAACGAGTCTCATACTTCGTGCCTTGGCTTTAGAAAATCTTTTTATTTGCAATTGATCTGCTTCCCATTACGCTTGGGGTTACTTCGTCCACTTGGGGACAAAACATACATTTAAGATCTCACTAGAAAATATTTCTTCCTCATAGTGTCAAAGCTGGTCGGTCTTTACATCAACTGGTTTCCTGGTCTAGCGGTTATGATTTTCCGTTAACAATTGCTTCGAGCAAGTGTTCCGGAAAGGTTCTGGGTTCGATTCCCAGGGAAACCATTTTTTGGGTTCTTGAATATCCTTCCCGAAGCCCTAGCTTCTTTTTTGGTTATTATGTTTTTTTTTTTGGTCTTCTATTTTTGTTTAAGTTCGGAAACATTGAACTCAATTGAATCGAAGTGTCAGCCGCTATGGCCGTTGTTAATTTGTAGTATGAATTGGGCAATATTTTCAAGACCTGAGACAATTCGCATATATTAGCAGGAGACGAAAGAATTGAACCACCCAAAGAATACAATTAAACACATAGAAACATAAACACATAAAACATGACTGAAAATCATACTGTATACAAAAACAACACATCTGGAGCCGGGCGAAGCTTCTGGTGGACGCCTCTTGTCATGAGGATGAAACGAATCAATTATCCCGCGCGACTGTTGTGATATCAAACAATGGAATCACGCAATGTGACCGGAACAAGGTCAAAATAGAGGGCGTAGAGCGAACGATCGTTGAGAAGTTGAGTGACCTAACTAATTTTGATGCTAAGTTGTTCTTCAATTGTCCACGGCGTTGAGAGAAGTGCTTGAGAAATCGGTAGTACCAATCTGGTAGCTATTATTCCTGGAGGCAGTGATGGTGGAACCCATCATGTTTGGAAGGAAACGAGAGATTGTCAGGCAGTGACAAAAAATGTTGCTGGAATTGACGTAAGACATTATGGCAGTAGAGTCTGACCACCGATCTGGATTCATTTACAGACATACATCGACTTCCCGTGACGGGACCTGGACAGAAAATGAAGGACCTACCTGTCTGCCGATCGCAGGTCCTCATTATTTTTCTGCCAGTCTTGGAAATATCATCAAATGTCTTGGCCAGGTAGCTGCTGGGAATATATCCTGAATGGGAATCACTGATAATCCGAGGTATATTTCCAAGGGTGGGGTTTCGAGTGGACAATGGGCTATGATCCAGGCGGGTGGTAAAAAAGACAAGCAGAGTCGCAGCGCAATCCAAGGGGCGCTCAACGGAAAGTCATTAAAGCGTGGCATCCAACCAGGGACTTCTTTTAAAAACGGCCATTTTCCATCCGGTGGATTCAAGTGTTTGCGAATCTCACACGACGGCCACGTCGATCCAGGATCAGCTTCTCGGTGTCAACATAAAGACAATCGAGGAACTGCATGGCGCTGGAGTCCTTCAGGATCTTGGCAACCTGTATTCCCGCAGAGATGAGCTGTAGCACGTTGCGGTCATCCTTGACCGGTCTGGACTGGTGCTTGGCAGCGTGGCGCATCTCCAGGGAGTTCTCCAGCACGGTGATGAGCTGTTTGATTTGGCGGTTGTACAAAAGATGAGCGGGAATGCGGCGTGTTGTAGCCAAGCGCTTCAAGAGGTGCACCCACTCGGTCCACTCGCGGTCCGAGGGAACCTTGACCGGTCTCTTGTCTTGTTCGATGGGAACGCGGAACTGGTACTTTGCTATGAAGTCATAGGCGCACCGGGACAAGCGATCGTTGACTTTGTGGAGAATGCTATCTTGCTCTGAGGCATCGAGATTAGTAGGGAGCTCGGGGAGCTCCTTGTCCTGGGCAGCGATGACCTGTTGGGTGGGTGGTTCCAGGAACTGATGTGGGCCATCAAATTCATCCCGGTTGGAGGTCCGTCTCTGGGAGTAATAGTGCGGGCTTCCTCTGGACTTATCGGCAGCTCGCCGGCTGTTTCTTTCCATGACATACTCTGGGCTCTCCGGAGTGGGCATTGTTCCAAGGTCCCGCCTGAGGGACTCCTGAGGCAGGTGAGCCGGGTGGCTCCAATCATAATTCCGGGGTGGAGGTACTGGTTGTCCGGTGGGAGGATAGGATAACCTTCCCATAGGCGGGTTCATCATGTGGCTGCGCGTGTCCATAGGGACTGGGGATCCATGGTAGCGGGCCTGAGGGTCAAAATCCATAGACCCTACAGACATATGACGGTCATCTCTGTAGCCATATCCGCGGGGAGTATTTGGCAACCTTTTACCATTTAGCAACTGTAAAGGGTGTATTTTTGTCGGAAACAGAGAGACGAGATTGGACGGATGGGACGATGACAGAAAATACCTTTGTTGGTAGATGACAGGGGAGGTCGCCGGGGGTCCATAAACGGGATGTTGATCCATGGTGCTGCTACGGAGTATGAGCCTCGGGTTCCAATATATCCGGCGCAGGAATAGGAAAGGGAATGGCGATAGCTGATTTTGCTGACCTATGGCGAGACCAAGTATCCAATTTGGAGTTGATTGAACTTGCACAAGAACCAAGACTTGCTGGGAAAGAGAATGGATGCAGGCTTGCTGATCCAGCTGTCAATGGATGGGGAAGGACGGGTAGCATGAAGGGAAGTGAGATAAGGCTAAACAACAGCCTAGTATAATACTCGAAGACACAGCGGGGAGGTATAAAAAAGATTTGATGAGAGTCGGACGAATCCACGATGAGAAAACGGCAGGTTATAAATATGGTCCACAGGAAAATCATCCAACCCGGGCTGAGCAGATGCGTATGCCTGACAAAGGGGGGAACCAATGCCTGTCAAGGTTTATGCAACGGCAACAGAAGTGGATTGAGAGCCGCGCTAAAGGGCTTTACGCCAGTGGCGTTGGTGGAGATGTAATCTAAGGAGATGAGGCCTTTATTGCCTGGGCACTGTTGACGCCATGGAGGCCAATTGCGTAACATACACAGGGAACCACCGGTGCCAAACACCAGTGTCGTTGAAGATCTTGATTGATCGAGTATGGAACCGGTGTGCACGCTCGTTGGCAGGCGAGACGCTGTGTGCGTTTCCGTTGGTGCATAGGCATAGCACTGGTGGGACGGCAGACATGATCCAAAGCCTCGATCTTCACAGATTAGTGGACGACTACCAACATCCTGGATACCACGCTACTTTCACCCTGTTTGACGATTATCTCGGGGAAATGACTTGGGCAGCAAGATGGACGTTGGGTAGGAAGTGCAAGGACTGGGGTATCTCTGCGATATTGGCTACCCAAATGTTGCAAAGAGGGTGAGATCTGCGGCGAAGCTAGACGTGCCATGATCTGAGGCTGAGGTAAATCCCGTGACACGCAGTTAATCTGCGTTGGGCACTCGGGCTGGTTTGAGGCCCAATGCCAATAAGCCGCATGGGCCATGTCTCTGTTTCCAATACTTTCAAAGATGAATATCCCTAATTGTGGAGAGATCAGCTACCTTTGGTCAATGGAGCATTGCAGCCCAACAGCCCAATGTCTGTGCTCAAGTATGGACCGGGCATTGTTATCAACAACATCCCGGCCAGGGAAGCCATGAAACCATTGCCCCCCTCAGCCTAGGAAAAGAAGTCATAACAATCATGTTATCTCTAGGGTATCACTCCAGCCGTTTTGCAGGCAGAAACTCTATCTTGATATCTGTCTACCTCGCATTGGCCATATTTTCTGGGTATTGCTTTCGGCCGGCAACTTAACCCCCAGACGAGAAGCATAATCCTGGACCAGGTAAGCAATGTGATTGCTTTGTGCTTGTGATGCCCACTTACTTCACAACTCAAACGGATACCTTCTTCGATGCCAATACGGGCCTCGTAACCCAGTATCTCTTTAGCTTTCTCGCCACTGGCATATCGAATGGCACATGCATCTCGAACAGTCCCACGGCTCAGGGTTGCTGTTGTTCCCATTACCCAGGTGACTGTCTCACACGCCAGTCCGGCAAAATGTGCCAGGCTCTCGGGAATCCGCAATTCGAATGGTGGAATGTGCCAAAAATGTGCCCATATCGCCAGACACAAATCCCGAAATGTGATAGGTTCGTTATTTTGAATGAAAAAGCATTCTCCGGCAGCGGTGCGAGATGATACCAGATTCTCTATAGCTAGGATATGGGCATCAGCGACATTGCTGACGTGGGTGATGTCCCACAAATTGAGTCCATCCCCGATGAGAAAAGGGGTTTCGTATTTGGCAATACATGCGTGGATCGGTGGGATCAGCTGGCAGTCTCCTGGTCCACAAAGCACCGATGGCCGAAGGGCACATGTTACCATTTTGCTGCTAGAGGCCTTGAGAACGAGTGCTTCTGCTACAGCCTACCAGAGATGTGTCAGTATCTGTTTTCATAAAATGGGAATAATGCGTAGGTGTAGAACTGGGGAATGCCAACCTTGGATTCCCCATAGATGGTAGACCTGGCTGCCGAAGGCCATTCCTCAGTGATGTTGGGATGAGGAGTGCTTGTATCATCAGTCACCACACAACAAGTACTCGTGTAGACAAAAGCAATGACACCAGTTTGCTGAGCTGCGTCGAGCATATTTCGCGTCCCTCCGAAGTTGGTCTTCCACGCCTTCTGCTCAAGTTGGCGCCCGAACCGCTCCGCCAGGCCGGGGATGAGCCCTCCAGTATGGACAACGACATTTGGCATTGTGGCCCTGAAAGCTTCCATTACTGCCTCGGCTGAGGTTATATCAATCTGCATGCATGAGATGTGTTCTGGTAGGACGTGCTGGGGCCGTGGAGGGCTCTGATCGATGACGGTGATAGCAACGTCCGGGTACTTTTCAGCAATAGCCCGCACGATGGCCGAACCTACAAACCCGGTGCCACCAGAGACCAGGACCTTTGGAAATGAATCGCTCATTGTGGAAATGTTGATGTAAACGGTGGGGGACGAAATTGGACTCGTCATAGCCGACATCAGAATATCCTCCGAAGCACAACGTGATACAAAGGGTTGGCATTCCAGTCGATTTGAGTATTTCAGTATCTCTAGACATCTAATTCTAATTCTCAATTACTTCAGTCTCAAATAGGAACGCCATCACTATCGGCCCCAAAGCTCATCATATGTGAGATCAAGGACGTTACTATATGGGTCATAGTCTCGGCTTTCTTCCTCTTCATCTTCGTCATCATCCTCTCCTCCTTCTCCATCTTCCTCTCCCTCTTCATAATGATCTCTTAAGGCTAGGAGAACCTCTGACAACCACTCAGAAATGCAATAACCTTCTGCTAGTCTCTTCAACTCTCTCAGCTTTGGCAATAGAGCTTCTGTTGTCATAGCCGGGTTGAAAGTTCTTCCGCACCTCATGTCCAGGATATGCGGGTGGATTTGCGCGGTTTTGTTGGCGACCTGGACGAGTTGATTTTCATAGAGCTGTTCGACGAGTCGGGACACTTCTTCTGCCGACAGCTGTGGGTTCACTGAAGGTGCACTTTCCAGTTGTATCAACGTGGGAGTCGCCAACGGTATTGGCTCGCGCACGCTTGTAGTGTAGATCAGCCATGATGTGGAAGCTTTTTCTCTGGCAATTCACGCATCAACCTGGAGACCCTTTTGGAGAATTTGGATGATCTACCTTACTGATGAGGAAAGTTGACAGAAGATGCAAGCGAAAAGCCCGAGAAGATGGGTCAAAATACGGAGCGGGTTAGATCTGATGGAAAGCACAAGTCGGCAGGTCAGCCCAAGGGGAAAAAAGAATTATTTATACCATTTTTGGGGGTGTCATTTTAGCCAAAAGGGAGTCTTTTCAACCTCACGTCAAAATCTACATGTAAGTTATGTCCGCATAGCCGAGTCCGTGTCCGAACAGCAACACCCATAATCTGGGTATCCATTTAGCCCTACAGTATACAGGCCACATACTATGGCTTTAGTAGCCTGGTCATAGATATCAAAGGAGAGCATGAACATATTGCAAGTCATAATCTATACACTATTGTCACATTGAGGACAGCTGCACCACCAGCAGAGTACACAGAATGCGAAATACACGCAGACATCTAATATACAGATACTTGACCTAGGTATTAACCCAAACAGTCACAAAGGACGAATCTCGGCAAGAGCCATCGCTGCGACTAACCAACAAAACTCCAAAGTAAATGCGAAAGAAGACAAGAAATGAAACGGAAACTCCCCAGCGGGCACTCAGGGAACATGCAGCCGCTAGAACAATCGCAGACTTATAGCACACGGCACAGAACCAGCCCACCGAGCTTCTTCTCAACACATTCACGCGCCTCCATGATCCCCTTGTCTGTGGAGAGATACAGACTCTCACCGGGCGAACGAAGGCCAGCCACGCCCCCAGCTTCCTTGCCACAGACGACCAGGCGGAGCCCCTCCACATCGATGTTCACCCGGCGGGTGGGCTTGCTGACCATCTTGACCTTGCCCAGGACGGACTCGTTCTGCCAGTACTTGAGACCAAGCCACAACCGCCTTGAGGCAACGTTATCGCGAGTGATTGGCTCAATTCCTTCGGCTGTATCGTTGGCAGCTGGGTAGCCGAGGATGGCATGGGCGGGAGGTGGTGTCGGGCCTCCGCGGACTACGGAGGAGATGTAGCCGGAGTTTTGGAGGGCGAGGGAGAGCTTTAGGTGGAGGTTGCTGTTGGGGATGGAGGTGAGCGCAAGGCGGGCCTTGGTGGCATTGTTCAGGTGCGAACAGACGGCGGCGAGGTTGACGAGAGACATTTTGATGGTAGCACTTGGGCCCTACCGGCGGCCGTTCGGAGAACAAAGGTGTTGTGGAGGGTTGTAGGTCTTTATTAGAGTCGGAAAAGGGGAGGTCCCAGATGCGCAGAAGAGATGACCGACTTTGACAAAGCTTGACGTGCAATTGTCCGGGGAATCGAAGACAGGAGGTCGGTGATGCAGCGCCGACTTGCTTGTTGCGATTATTCGGGATGGAAATTTTCGGATAAACCATACTTCCGGATGATCGTCGTGGTCAGGTATCCGATACTTTACCGCCCGCTGTGGATGTATGTGATACCCAGGTCACTAGTACGATCTCATCACATCACCTCCTAAGCGCCCAACGTGCATGGCGGTTGTAGTCTTACAGTACCCCTCAGTCTCCAAGCTATAAATACTTCTAATAGAATATGTCTTTCTCTTTCTTTACACTTGTCCTTGCGCGTATACCCTAACATCATGCCTCCATTAGCGGGTGAAGAACGTCTATTGACAGTGTAAGTTGAACTGCCTCCCCGCAGATGAAGCACAAGTCGTTGGATTTGGTCTGATAGAAACAGGTTCGCCGATATTCACTACTATTTCACAGAGCCCACTCGGAGACCTTCGCCATACCACCACCGTTTTGACAAGGGCTCATATCTATATGTCTACCACGACGCCTCTCAGAACAAAGCCCGAATTGAGATAGCCAATAATCCTGGATCCCCAGAGCAGGACGCATTTTGCGGGGAGTTGAATCATGTTCACATTCGACACTCGTCTCAATTCCCAACACTCTGTACCCTAACCGTCGATGCACACACGAACCCATCTCCACAACGCGCATATTCACCAGCTTTACCTCAACATGAATGGCGTCTGCCTAGTGGGGATCCACGAGATGATCCGACTGATTTTCGAGACTTTCCCCGTCTCCATACACTAGATATCTACTTTTGGGGCCAAGAAGACGCAACCCAATTCCTCGACACAGCAGAACAGGTTCTCCCAAGTTCCCAAGTCGAAACAGACAGAGAGCCAGCTCCCCAGCCAGAGCAACCCCTAAGCTCAGTGGTCCAGCAACTTGAGAATGTCGCAGTCTCAGACCCGGCCTACCAAAACGGCCAGACACGCAACTCTCGATCCGACACCCAAACCACGGCACCTCAACCACCCCAAGGCCCAGGAATCCCACAAACAACTAGCTTCCCTCCACCTCCCCCAAGCGGCCCACCAGCCGACCAAAACTCGAGCACCGGTCACTCCCCAGCAGAGGAAAAGAAAGACCCTGCGAGCTTCGCCCCGCTGCCATATAACCCTGCCGCCCCAGCAGCCCCAGAACCGATCAAACATCGCGAGAAGACCCCGCCCCCAGAAGATGCCATGGACGGCACAGGCCTCGCAGCCGCCGTAGCAGCCGTCAACGGCGTTCCCTATACACCCCCGCACCAAGTAATCGGCGGCGTAGGAGGGGTAGCCGGGTTCGCATCTCCTCCACCCTCAAATTCAACACCGGGACTATCCTACGCCGGCCCTCCAACAACGATAATAGGCCCACCAGGCTACGCCTCACCACCGCCTAGCACAGGCTTACAGCATACAGGCTCGTTCTCGTCCCATTCTTCTATCCAGAGTCCTGGCTTGCCTGTGCCGTCTTACTCGCAGTCTTTCCTTAGTGGCGCGGGTAGCCAGCAGTGGAATGCTAGTGCTAGTCCACAGAGATCGGGTTCTATGTCTTTTGCGCCGCCACCGCCTCAGCCTCAGGATGCAAATGCTAGTCCGCAGAGACAGGGTTCTATGTCTTTTGCGCCACCGCCTCAGGATCCAAATGCTCGTTTGTATGATCAGCATATTTATGGGGGTTCGCAACAGCCATCGATTCAGGAGATACAGCAACAGGCTTCGACGCCGGTTCCGATGGGTGGGTTCTCGAATTACTCGTATGATAAGGCTCCGAGTCAACAGCCGAGACAGCCCGGTGCATCTGAGTATGATATCCATAGCCAGGCTTATCGGCCCACGGAGGCTGAGGCCGGGTCTCATTATCAGAAGTATGCGCAGAAGGCTATGAAGAATCCTGGGCAGAGGCCGAGGAAGTTGGAGGATAAGGCGGAGCGACTGGAAAGTGGTGTTAATCGGTTTTTCAAGAAGCTCGAGAAAAGGCTGTGAGATTTATTTCCTTATGTTGTGGAGAGATTTATCATTGCATCTTTTTCCCTCTTGTTGGTGATCGTTGCTGGCCATGATCATATGTTGGAGCATTTGGTTCATTTTGATAGTGCTGTTGACGTACACGGAATCTTACATACAAATGAAGTGTTTTACTGGTAAAGCTTTGAACCCCGCTGTATTGACAAATCAAGATGCTAATTCAATACATGTAATGCCCCTAAGCGCTAAGAATAATGTGCTCGCAAAATCGGTACAGAGAATGCAGAATAACTAGACAGCCCAAGACATAGAAAGATGAGGAGATGCTAGCATGAAGAAGATAAAAGCCTCTGGCGGGATGAATGGGTTAAAATGAGGACAAGCCTCGAAGGAGAAAAGAGGCTCACGGTGGACAAGAAGGGAAGAGCCAAGGGATGGTAATCAAAACAGATTAAAAAGAATATCAAAGGTGATCAGAAATGCAATAGGCGGAGTTCAGCATCTCTATGAGTGGTGCTACTATGACATCCATCTAGTTCAGTGCCAGAGTAGTGATATCGAGGGCGACGTTGCTAGACTCGGCCTCAGTGGCAGGCTTGACCTCGGTAGGCTTAACCTCTGCCGAGTTCTCGGGTTCTGCCGAAGTCCCCGGAATGGTAGTATCCTTGGCTGGAACAGTCTCTTCTTTCTCGGCCTCAAACTTGGGACCAGATGGAGCTGCAAGCCACTGGTCGAGTCCTGGCTCAGGGATGACAGTCTTTTGCTCAGCGCCTTCAACTTCGGCAGGCGTTGGGTCAGAGGCCTTGGGCTCTTCGACAGTCTCGCCGGCCAGAGTTGGGCTAGCATCTGCCACCTCGGGGGTAGCGGTGGTCTCGACAGCCTGTTCTTCTTCAACAACCTCAGGGATTGACTCAATAGCCTCCACAGGAGTCTCCACGTCAGCCTCGGTCGGAGCCTCTGCCTCAGCAACTGGTTGCACCTCAATCGAGACTTCGACCTCAGCTTCGGTCTCCACTTCAGGCTCGATAGGCTCAGTTGGGGCCACAACGACCGGCTTAGACACCTCAGCTGACTTATCCACAGGCTCGATGGTAGAGGTAGCCTCAATGGGCTTCTCAGCCTGGATAGGAGCAGCAACCTCCTCAAATGGCCTAGTAATAGCCTCAGGCTGTTCCACAGTAGTAGCCTCTGTCTTCTCCACAGTCACAGGCTCCTTGGGGCTGACCGGGGTAGGCTCAACAAGATTCTCCTTCTCGCTCTCCTGCTTCTTCTGAGGAAGCGGGTTTTCACGAACAGGCGCCTTGTTCGCAGCCTGCGATCTCTCACTCTGAGGTCGCAGAGTGGTGGTCTTGGGCTTTGAATGGGGCGCAGCGCGCTCGGGAACCCTGCCACCGATGGAATGTCTGGGGGCCTTGGAAGTCGCTGTGGTCTTGGGAACAGCCTTCGCGTCCGTCTTCTCATGGGACTTGTTAGCAGAGCTAGCAGTGGGTCGCATCATCCTCGCAAGGAAGCCCTCGTTGACTGGCTTGGTAGCGTGTACATCACTGGTTCGGGAACTGGGCCGTTCATTGGCTGGCTGGCTGGGCAACGAGGGGCGAGAGGACTGTCTGCGAACACCGGTAGACGTAGTCGCCGGCGGCTGAGCTCCGACTGCACTTCTGAGGGTCGAGGGTTTTCTAGTCAGAGTGTTGGTTGTGCGAGTGCTTGCGCCAGTGCTTGCTGGGTTAGTGGGTGCTTGGGTGGGCGCCGTAGATTGACGGGTAGATCTGCTCGTTGCAGTAGATGGCTTGGAAGTTTCCACGGGAGTTGAGCCTCGGGTTGGCCGTACTGTTGTCTTGGGGTTCAAGGAGACACGGCTCGGCTTGTGGGCAAGAGAGTTGGAACGCTCCTTGGCCACTTCGCGGGCTGAGGGCTTGGAGGTGTTGTTTTGGGATCGTTGTCCGCCAGTCGACGTGGCAGTAGTCGATGGCTTGTTGGCTGTAGTAGATCCAATGCTAGATGGCTTTCTCTTGATTGACGCGTCGGACTTTTGCGAGGGTGTCTCGGAGGTTGTCGACCTAGATTTGGCGGAGGCAGGTCCTGTTTTGGGCGCGTCTGGCGACTGGGGTGCAGTCTCGGAGTGCGCAGGGGATTCCTGGGCAGTGTTATTTGGTTGCCGCTTCGTTTGGAGAGTTTCCGGTCGACCCTCTGCCATGATCTGGGCCAAATTCGGGTTCTCGCTGTGCTCTAAATGGCTGGCCGGGGTAGGAGAAGCCATGTCCTGCCGACTCGACTCCACATTCACCGAATTGATTTTCGGTCCAAATATTCCAGGACTATCACTCCGTCCACTTGTCTTCCTCAATGGCGAAGCTGGGTTGGATTGTAGGGCCCCTTCCACGTTCACGAAGCTGGCGCGGACCCTGGACAACTGTCGAGCTGTCCCTGAGGTATCTGATGCAGCGGGAGATCTGCCACGGGAGGGTGGGGAGGTGATCGGACTTTGGCCTTCGAACTTGGCCAGCAAGCTGCGCACGCCAGGGTGATGGGGGTTGTTATCGGACATTTTGCTCAGGCTCGGGCTCGAGCAAGGGCATGTATATTGAAGGGGTCAAGGAACGCGTCTGTAGAGCACAGGGGCGAGGTTGGGGGAGAAACGGTGGAACTGTGATGTTTAATCAGTAAGCTGCAGATCGCACTGCATGTCCCCAGTAGGGTTCAACACGATGAATGAAGGTGAGGACAGAATGAGCAGAAGGGAAACTATTACATACATCGCGCTAGTGCGTACTAGCGCCAGTTGATCGCCTGGAGTTTCAGGGGCTTCATTACTCTGTGTGATGCCACCTAAGGAGTCCCGAAATATCCGAAACACGTCTGGACACATTGCAATATGATATGATTCAGTAAGGGGAAATATTGCCTGAGGCAAGTAAACATCTTACCTGACTGACTGTATTGCCTATGCGTGGTCCACAGGTCTGAACCTTGACCTTATTCCCCGATCCATAGAGGCTTACCATTAACATAATATTAAGTTAAACATGCTAAGGTTCTATGCAAATGATCATATTTCCTATATCGAATCTGTTGCGATCGTCATGTCTATGCGGGGTATCGGATTTCCCGCGTGGCTCGAGGTATGTAGGAGAGATCTAGAGTCATGAACACTAACTAGTACGGAGTAGTTGAAATTATAGATCTCTGAGATTGTTAAACTGTGTATATGTAGTTATGTTTGGATAAAGGCTAAAGCTAAGGGCTTACATGCATATCCTCCCACAGTACCACATCCCTGCAGGCAATTTCTTCTAGCATACCTCAGTGTATACATACTAACAACACCCCCGTACTCCGTACATCAGGTCAACAAAGGTCAACTTTGCTGTTGTTGGCGTGGCCAATGAGAAAACAGTCTGGCCGCATGCACGTGACAGTACCACATTCTCGTATACGAGGTCTATCTCTCTTAGCATCTATCCTCTTTATGATGATTGAACATGGTCGGTGTGCCTCGCAGCAATGGCTGCTTGCGCTGCGTCAAGCGTCGGGTGAAGGTGAGTGTCCCACAAATATAGCGGAGCCTATGTTAAGTTACTCATACGCCACAGTGTGACCAAAGACTTCCTGGATGTGCCAAATGCGAAACATACGGCCAACCGTGTCCTGGATACGATAGAGGTCTTAAATTCATTACTGGAAAGCCCTATCGGGATCGACGCCGTCCAGCAAGCGACAAGAAGGATGGAACCCCCAAGAGTGCAACCTCCAATCCAGATATTGAACTTGAGTCTGCCTGTCAGACTCTGATCCAGAGAGAGGAACCATCTTCTCTAATATCGCCAGATGTGAATATTATGCAACATCTGTGTGTTCTTATTGATGATTTCTCTCAACCTATCAACCCCAGTCCTCCGCATGTTGTGACCCGCTGGTTCGGGTTTCTTCCATCCATTTATGGCCAAAATCGGGTATTGGATGCTACCATCAGATGCTTCACAGCACACCATTTTGGACGCCTTGCTGAGAATCTACAAATGGTGTCATATGCCCGATTAGCTTATGGGGAAGCTTTGCGTGGACTACGAAAGTCTTTGGAAACCCCGGCTGAAAGCTTATCGACCCATGTCTTTTGTGCAGTCGTATTGCTGTGCATGTATGAGGTAGTTTATCCCATCAAACTTGCCTAAAATAAAAATACGCTGATCATACATAGTTGTTCACCGACACTGATGACCCCGAGTCATGGATGAAGCATGCCAAAGGCCTCAGTCAGTTGGTCCAAATCAGAGGACCAGACAGGTATTCCAATGCGCTTGATATTTCACTACTGAAAGCCTCTCGAGGCTTAATTGTATGTTGTCCTATTCATTTTGAAACATGGATTTGCCTTTCGGTATGCTCATACTAAGACAGGTAATGCACTCGATGTTCTCAGGCGAAGAGTGCTTTTTGGTGTCAGATGAATGGCACGAGAAGATGCGACAACAATTCACAACAGACTTGCCACCCGACCTACACCACTGCATCGAAGTTTTCTTTGCATATTTCACACATGCACCGAGTCTTGTGCATAAGCTCTATGGCCTGAGACACATGGATGTAGCCAGTGCGGCAGCCTTGCAAACAATAACCGAAGTTCTCTCGGAGGCTCTCGAGATGCAGGCGAACCTGGCCATCTGGTACGAAGAATTTTCTCAAATCGCACCGCCTCCATTTGAGACCCTCTCTCCAACAGGAGATGAGCTATACCCAGTCATCCTCACATACACAGATGTGAACCAGGCGACTATTTACTGCGGTTACTACTCTTTTATGGTGATCATACATGAGATATTGAAAACGTGTTGCCAACCGGGTCAGCATGCAGCCATGGTAACCTATTTCCGAGACCGAATTTGCAAATCAGTCGAGTACACCAGCGTTGGAATAATGGGTCCCTATCGAATGGGGTTTCCTCTCCGTGTGGCATTTGAAATTGCCGACCCGGTGACAAGATCATGGATCTTGAACCGCCTGGGGCAGTTTTCAAAGATTTACGCAGCGGCCCAGCCAGAGAATTACAAACCAGTCCTTTAAAATATGCAAATTGCATTATTAAGTCAATATAGACACCAACGACCCCGGCCAACAACCAACAAATACCAGCACACACCCAGACCTCAATTTCCAGGCGATTCCAAGTCATCGTAAACCATGTGCTTAGCAAAGAAAGATGGCATGACGGGCTCTGCCACACCACGAGCGACCAAAAGCAACATGACAATAATGATCTCCATCAAAAGCCCCATCCCAACCAAAACGCCGATATCACCAGTGGCCGGATTGAACCTGGGAGGACCATATTCCAACAACAGGAAATAGGTAATCCGCACCAAGAGGAATGGCAGAGTCAAAACAGTCACAACTGCAGCGCGGTGCCCAGACTCGGGAAGAAGTGTTCGCGATTTAAATGCAAGCCAAGCAACGAGACAGCACACATAGGCGAATGTGATAACAAGAACCACTGAGCCGGCTTCTCCCAATGCATGCATGTTGATACACGCGCCCACAACTGCCAAGACGATGGCGGTGAGAATCGGGAACCGGAAGAAATGAAGGGCGAATCGTGTCCACTTGGACCATTTTGAGTTACCTGGTCCAGATTCTCCGGATTGTCCACTAGAGAATGAAGTGTTAATCTCTCTCAACAATCATTAGGACTTTATTGTCATTGACATACCATCGCAACATGACCAAGCTAACTTCAAACAAAAGAGGCGAGAGGCCTACACTTTGCAAGACGGATTCGGCGATAAGCATTGGTTTGTCTGGGTGTGAGGTGGATAGTACAAGGGCCGAGCCAGCGGTACGGACTGTAATAGTGTTATAGTTGGATCTCAGGCTGTGGGATGTATCCTTCACTTACTCTGTGACAAGAGACCAACCATACTCCACCAAGAATAGAGAACACAACGTCCAATGCTCTTGTTCTTGTTGTGGTGCCAGTACCGCCGCTCTTGCATGAATCTTGTACTGAATTGGACAATGTGTATAATGGAGTATATCACGATTTCTGCAATGGCTATATTGCGCTTTCCAGTTGAGATCGGTGACTCCGAAGAACGGGATAGGATATTGACTGCCATGATGAATGAGTTGTCTCAAAAGAGTCGAGCTGAATACTTGATGGAAACAAAGTATGAGATTGGGCATGGAAATAATCTAACTAAGGGTCTTTGGTCTGTTTATATATCTTCTCTCATCCTTGGGCATTCAATCTCTGTTGTTTTCCTTCACTCTATACTTGTGGACCCACATCGCGGAAAGTGACCAATTTAGGTTTAGCGTGTATATGCTTCGCTGAATCCGAGCTTAATGGCTGGCAACTTATGGTAACACTAGAGAGGGAAAAAGAATATTTTGGGGCTGAGAGGGGCGCCAGGAAAGTGCCCCCTACTCAAAGGTTATTTACTTTCATGCTCGCGATGTGTGACCATTTTAGGTAGTACAGATGCATATCCACAGCCCATGGTTTTGCAGCTGACTGTTGTTCCTGTACCCTGTACTTCCACCGGTTCGAATAAGGTCAAAACGAAATCATGCTGTAAACAATATTTTTCGCTCTCAATTTTTAGACTGTCAGGGAAAGTGAAGCCTTAGAAGCCCATAGGTCCATCACGACATATCCTCCGGACCCCGGAGTACTGCCGGATCAATGATCATCCGAGCCCCCATACAAAATGAAAAGCTCCGATGACGGCGACTGTCGATTCCAGGAAGCAACCCTTCAATAAGTCTATCAAAATGGCTGCTGCTGCCCGGACACTTCGCATTGGTACAATTGCCTGGTTCCGCGATCTCATTGCTCGATAATTGACTAACAGGATCATATAGGTCTCATCCCCGGAGACGGTATCGGACGGGAAGTCATCCCGGTGGGTAGCTCATTCGAGTTAAGGACAGACCAATTGGCTGACTGGGGTTTGTTGGTACGATTTAGGCCGGCCGTAAGGTCCTTGAGTCCCTCCCTTCGTCCCTGAACCTCAAGTTCAGCTTCGTCGACCTCGATGCTGGCTTTGGCACTTTCCAGAAGACAGGAACTGCTCTCCCCGACAAGACCGTTGACACCCTGAAGAAGGAGTGTGATGGTGCTCTCTTCGGTGCCGTCAGGTAAGAAACAATGCCCTTGCAAAACATGAACCGGCTAACGCCGTCAACAGCTCCCCGAGCACCAAGGTCGCCGGCTACTCTTCCCCCATTGTCGCTCTCCGCAAGAAGCTCGACCTGTTCGCCAACGTCCGCCCCGTCAGAACCACCGTCGGCAGCAGCAGAGGCAACCCCATTGACCTGGTCACCGTTCGTGAGAACACCGAGGACCTCTACGTGAAGGAGGAGCGCACCATCGAAGGCCCTGACGGCAAGGTTGCCGAGGCTATCAAGCGTATCTCCGAGCGTGCTTCATTCCGTATCGCCACCATCGCCGGTGAGATCGCTCTCAGCCGCCAGGCTATCCGTGACGCTGCCCCCGGCACCTCCACCCGCACCCAGCCCATGGTCACCATCACCCACAAGTCCAACGTCCTCTCGCAGACCGACGGTCTCTTCCGCGAGACTGCCCGCAAGGCCCTCTCCGCCGAGAAGTTCTCCTCCGTCCACGTCGAGGAGCAGATTGTCGATTCCATGGTCTACAAGCTCTTCCGCCAGCCCGAGTACTACGATGTTATTGTTGCCCCCAACCTGTACGGTGACATCCTGTCTGACGGTGCCGCTGCTCTTGTTGGCTCCCTGGGTCTCGTCCCCAGCGCTAACGTTGGTGACAACTTCGCTATTGGTGAGCCTTGCCATGGCTCTGCCCCTGATATTGAGGGTCTAGGTATCTCCAACCCCATTGCTACTTTCCGCAGTGTCGCTCTGATGCTCGAGTTCCTGGGTGAGGCCAACGCCGCTGCTAAGATCTACACCGCTGTCGATGGTAACCTCGATGACGGCAAGTTCCTTACCCCCGACATGGGTGGTAAGGCTACCACCCAGCAGGTGTTGGACGATGTCCTGAAGAGACTGTAAGACAAAACTTGTACATAAATCATAGTTTGCAGTTGATTAGCAAGGAAGCCAAAATTGCTTCTTGTATCAAATGATATCTATCACTGTAAAGTGGGTATGCAAGCAGGAAAGCCTATCACTCAACATCAGCCGCCGATGGCTCCGATTCCCAGTCAAAGTGCTCCAAGCTGCCCTTGCCATCGGTTTGAGTGTACCCTTGATCCTGCCCGATATCACGTAGGACAACCGTAAACATAACAACAAGATACACCCGGCCCGTTGTCGCATCCTTAAGAACATAGCGCAAGTCATGATCCTTGTCACTCACATACTTCATAGCATGGATAGTAATACCGGGAAGCCGAACAGAGAAATCTACCAATTAGCCAAAGCCCAGACAGCAAGAAGCAATTACTGTAAACTCACCACTAAAAGCCAAATAAGGATTCCCAAAATCAACTAGATACAACCGCCCAGCCTCAAACTCAAACTCCTTCCGATTAGCCTCATTCTGGAAGAATTTCTTCCTCGAATCCGCATCAGGGAACATCCGCCGCATCTCAGTAGCCTCCTCACCATCAGCGCCTTCTTCAACAACCTCATTATGAAGAGTCGGCAGCTCATCCGATTCCCCCATCTTTTCGCCAATCCGGAAATAGTTAAACGTAGCCAGTGCCGGACTAAACAGATACGGTCTATCGGCGTACGCATCGCCATCTAGACTCGGGTCGAGGGTCCATTTGACCATACGCAGGGCTGCGTTGAAGCCTGGCGGGAGGATGTCGCGGATTGGCCTGTCGAAGTCATTGCCGAAGACGAGGTTGTTGCCGTTTACGGGTTCTTTGAAGATTATTGAGAAGGATATTGAGTACTGGTCTTTTGTGTGTAGTGGATGTTCGAAATATGGGCATGTAGATGCTGAGCCCTCCGGGAAGCCTGTTTGGGTAAGGACTTGCTCTTTGGTGTAAAGGGAGAGGATGTTTGTTACCTGTGTAATCTTGGATTCGCACGCAGAGACTGATTATTGCGTGGTCATTTTCGATTCGAAGTGTCTCGCCGTTTACGGGGACCACTTGGTGAGTGTTCGGGTCGTATTCTGGCCCTGCTGTTACCCTCAGGCGGTATTTGTGGGCGTTTGTTTCTTCGTCGGCCATTTTTGGGATTTGTTTGTTGAGTATATTCAATGTGGTTTACTGGAATAGAAAAATGTTGAACTGGTATAGAGGGTCGGAGCTAGGAAATTACGCCCAACAACGTCATCGTCAGAATCAAGCATAGCGCCAAGACTAGTACTTAACCTAAACCTTATAAACATAGCCATTTTGCAGCTGACTTTGGATCTATCGGGCGCATTTGGGCAATGCTGTAAACTGGACCCCAATCTTACACTTATACCTTGACATCATCGCTTTCGGAAAAACACCGAGACCAAAAGTTGATTGGAGCAGCGGCAAGTAGCACCCAAAGTGGTTAGCGTGTCAGGAAGTAAAGGGGCCGCCAAGACTCTGCGCCCCAGGGCTGTGATGGAGAGACCCTTGATCTCGAGGTATATAAGTAATAAGTCCAGTCCACATTCTGAGATTAGGACAGCAAATACTTCAATCCCTCAATCTTCAATCTTTAATTCCAACTTAAATCTAATCCTCACCCAATCCTCACATCATGTCTTCCAAGATGCCTCAACAAGATACGCCTCAACAAACTACTCCCAACCCTACCTTCACAGTCGACATGACATGGAAGAAATGGAAGGCCATAATCTCAGACTCCAACGACTCAGAAGGAGGCCCCAAATACATCGTCAGCTTTCCATGGAGCATGCTCCCAAAATCAGAAAGCATGATCGTGACAAGAACCGCCGACGAAGAAGTTGTTGGAACCGGCAAGCTTCAAATGGTCTCAATCAACGCCTATTACCAACTCCACGGCCAAAAGGGCTCTCTTCTAGCACAGAAGCGCTGGCAAACTGTCTACACCCACCGCTCTCTCAACTTCTCCAATACCGATACTCCAGTCACCATGACCTGGACTAGCAACTATGGGTTCAAAACATGGGATTTCATTTGTGTTGATGATCAGCAGATGCCTGTTGCTAGGTTTTCGGCTAATTCTTGGGCTGTTAGTAAGATTGGTAAGATTGAGTTCGATGGCCCCAAGGCGCATAGCCAGGCTGCTCAAGAGGAGATTTTTGTGATTGGGCTCACGCTGTTTTACACAATGTTGCTTCGCACCACCAATATTTTCAATTTCTTTGGAGCTATATTTTCTCGGCCTGGTCATAAAGAGCATGTCGAGCCCCAGCCTCTACCGCAGAAGGTGGCTAGCGAGCAAGCCGGCCATTCTTGATTTGGCCTGGTCTTTTGTCTTCTGGATACCTTTGTTATGACAGTGATACCATTTTATTTTATTTTATAGAAAGCGTGGCAGGATATCTTAATGTGTGCCTATTTGATCTTAATCGATATTGAACTTTCCGATCTTCAAAACACCATATTTTCAATTGTTTGCGATGTATATTTTCTACTAGTAAAATCCTTGTCAGGCTGGCCATGTTGTTGATTGTGTCCATTTGTGTTGGGATCCACTCGAATGGAGAGAGTAATGTGCCATTGGAGTCTGCGTATAGACTTGCGTTTCCGAAAGGAAGGCGCTCACGATTGTGGACTTGTGGCCGACTATTACTGTGCCTCCTGGTTGGATTGGATATATTTCGTTACAGCGGTGAGTTCCGTGTATTGGCTTAAGTTCAATGGCATTTGTTGGAGGGGTTGAGGTAGACGCCAACTGATCCGGGGGTGCCATGATTGAGGATGCGGTCTGAAGCAATCCAGGCTCCGGAGGCCGACATTTCTCCGTGCACCATGCTGGACAGTAGTATATAGTATAAAAAGAATCCTTGTATTCTCTATAAAGCTATATTGACAGTCGCGAACGGGGGAGATGACACGGCAAGATCTCACACCCAAGATCGACGACCACAGTCGTAGCTACGGTCATCTAGCAGTCAAATTCAACAGTGCAAGAGTGGTGGTTCTGGCCGTGCTTGTCGCCCAGCGTGCCCTTGAGACCTTTCTGGTCTTGATAATCAGCAGAGCATGAGCAATACATGATATATAATTAGCTTCTGTTTAGACGCAAGTTGATTAAGCGAGGGAGAAAAATCGATCGACTTACGTGATGGCACCAAGGTTGCAACTGGCATCCCATGCGATCGGGGAAGCCAAAGTGGCATCGCCCTTCAGGTCTCCATCATCGCCAGTCCAGAATGTAGCGGGGCCGCAGATGCCATCCGACTTGTCGAAGATGAGCTCTGAACCATCACCTGTAGTGACTGTGACATCCTGGATTGCTCCACGTTGACTTTCGTTGACATCGGCTTTGACTGTACAAGAGCCTGCCAAAGCAGATGGCAGACTAGCCATAGTAATGAGGAGGACGGGGAGGAACTTCTGAATGAACATTGCGATCGGTGGTAACTTTAGTTGGATCGTTTGAATGGAAGTGATTGTTGATGTTGATGCTTAAGAACTTCAACACCGGGTCTTGAGATTTTTTTATACCTTTGTGAAGGGCTACGACAAGTTCATTAACGCAATTGTCCTCAATACGTAAGTATACTCACTATGAGATATATGTTGTTGGGGGCTATGAAGTAATTCAATTCTTCTCCAAATGGTTGTGGAGTATGAGTAGCTGGAGATGGGTTACTTATTGGGTAGTACCCCGGAATGTTCGGCAAAGCTGCCTGTATCTGGAGCTTTTTCGACGAATTTCGTGGGGGCTATTGTCTTAAGGATCTTGATCTTGGCAACGTAGCTTAGTTTCTCTTGGTGAAAGCCTGATATTGAACCTTGGCGCCTCTACCATCTGCTATTACCCCTGCGGCCCTCAGTGACGATCCCATGCAGGCACCAGCCTGGTTCTAGCTGGACCTATCAAACGGTGATCTATTTACCCAACATCGTCGGTGAAATCTGATTGTTGTTTCGAGTAGCTGGGCGGTCTGTACGGATCATCCTTGGGGCTGTACAGGATCCTTCTGGTTGATCTTAGCCTTTTACTAACAAATATGGAGTGTATACGACGAACCGAGGATGGACAGCGGGAACCAATGGGCCTGTGCAGTATACTTGACCCCTGCAAAATGAGCGAAAATTGCGCGGAATGCCAGGAAAAGAAGAAAGAAAAGAAAAAAAGGTAGGGGTCATGCCAAAGACTAATAAATATCATATGAAAGCCAGGATTCGCGGGGGAATATCCGGTAAGTTACATATGTAATAAAACATAAAGCTGGTGGCTCAAAGAATGCCACACCATGACAAATGAAAGTATAGTGAAAGTGAAGGTAAGAGTATATAATACAAATTAAACCAAACCAGATGTGGGTAGATCAATGTCAGAGTCGAGACCGTGCTGTAGGGCTGATATCTCATCATCCTTCATGAGTTCCTCCTCAGTAAGGATCCCAATGCCACTATCCATACGCCGGCGGTCCTTGCCCCGACCAAATTCGACATCTACAAATCGTGTCGTGCTGACAGGAGTGATGGGCTCACTTCCACAGCCCATGGTTGTGGCATCTGACATGAGATCGTCGGATTTCAACTCCCAGTTTGCCGTGCGGACCTTGGCTCTCCGGCGCTCTGCATTGATAGTCTCTTTCATGTGGGCGAATGAACGTGCTTGGTCTGCCGCCCATTTATCAAGGACCTCATTGCGAGCCTCGACTTCTTGGTGAAGTTGCTCTTCGAGGCCTGTGTTGATTAGGCGGAGACGCTGTACCTCGGATTTGGCGCTATCCAATGACGTGGAGAGGTCCGAGATGCGAACATTGAGAGTGCCGGTATCCGATTCTTGATTTTGAAGCTCACTATTACTTTGCTCCAGAGCCTCCACGGCTCGTTGGTACTCCTTTTCGAGTATTTCCACCTGAGCCATCAAGTCACAGGTCCGAATTCGATTGTGCTCAACGGTTTTCTCCAACTCGCCGATGCGAGCGTCATTCTCGGAAGAAGAAGCTTCGGCAGTGAGACGCTTTGAACGCTCGTGGGCAACTTGCTTCTTGAGCTTGGAAATTTGCCGAGCGTAGTCCTCCTTCGCGGCCATGTTTTCCTTTTCAAGGTTGTCGATAAGGTCTTCAAGACCCTTCACTTCGTCGTGATACTTGTCGAGGGCAGTGCTTAATCTGTCAATCCCAACGGCCTGTTCTTGGCCTTCGCGCTCGAGATCTTGCATTCGCATTCGTGTGTGGAGCATATCCCCCGCAGAAGATGCGATAAAGTCCTCGAGACTGTTAATTTTGTTTGCAGCTGCTTCATATCGGTGTAGTAAAGCGTCAAATTGACCTCGGAGGGCCTTTTCGCGGCCAAGGGAGCCCTGGTGGTACCTACGCTCTGTACCCAGGTCTTTTGCTAGGGACTCAACACGCCTCACTAAGGCACCCAACGTTCCCTTGGCATCCTCAAGACTGACGTTGGCGGTTTCGCCGGGTATGGCACGCTCTAGTTCAAGGCGTGCTGAGCGGAAATGAGATCGCATATCGGCGATAACAGCATCCACTCCCTCTCCGGAGAATCCAAGACCGGAGCATTCTTGGCTGACTCCTTGTAGAGCCTCGGCGGCGTCAGACGCACGACACAGGGCGCTTTCCAGAATCTCCAAAATGTTGTCAAAGAAGTCCGAAGGTGGGGATGACTGGCGCAACAAGTTATTCATTGCGGGCTCGTTGAGCCCAGAGAAGCGCGATCGGCAGGCATCAAAGAGGTTCCTCTTTTCTTTTCTAGCAGTCTCCAGATCAACAGCAAGCAACTGGGCCTCGGATGCTTCTGTAGATAAATGTATTGTTGATGCCTCCTCGAGCATCAATGTATCCGTGACCGGTGGGTTGCAGTCCTGAATACCACGGAAATCCGGGGAGCTGGACACAATGATGGCAGTATCATTCAACATGAAGGTGTCATCGTCACCATTAGCCTGGGTGATCTCATTCGGGCTATGATTGAAAGCCACGGATGCATCATCACAAAGCCTAGGTGTTTCCGGCGTCATCCAAAAGGCCTCTGCCGCCGAGGATTGGTCTTCAAAGCCCATTCCACTTTGCTTCATAGATCTCAGCTCATCCTTCAGTGCATCTCGCTCCTGAATCAGATTGCGCATGGTCTTCTCATAGTTGCTCGTTTCACGCTTCTCGCGCTGAATATGATTCATTTCATCGCTCAACCCAATCCGACAAATTCGTCTTTGTGTGCGTGTATCCAGAATTTGTCGCAGTGGAGTGAATTGAATCCTCCGCTCTTTGCATCTATCGTCAAACGGCTCGACAGGGTCGTAAGACCGCCGAAATCGAGGTGTGGGAGCGGACCTGCGTCGTGCTGTGCGGCTAGTTGTACGATCTCCTGATCGCGAGGATGCAACCCATCCTTGAAAAGATGTACGTCGCATTGCTGGTGTCAAGCCGGTGGATCCGATGGCTGCATCCTGCAGCAACCGAGGACCGGGGTCGGAAAACCGAACCCTTTTTCTTGCCTTCTTTGGTGTAATAGCGACTGGCTTTTGTTGAATACCGCCAGCATCCGCGGATACCGCTGTGAGGCTTTGCCTTGTTCGGTGTGAGACTGGAGAATGGCTTCTCGAGTTGGAGACAGAGCTATTCCTCCGTTTTCTTGCTGATCGAGTGATGTCCATATTTGAAATGTACGGTAATTTTGCAATGATAATGAAATTTATCACAAAAGGAAAGGTTTCACAAAGACGAGAGGATACAACTCTAGGGCCCCTTTATACAGGACAATTATATAGATCACAAATGTTGTAAACAAACAAAGTGTGGGGCGAGGCAGGCAGCAGGCGCGTGCCTGGATTGGTCTTTCCTAATCCGGCGTAAACATTCTGCTTCTTTGGGCGATCATGTGATTTATAGCCTCAGGCTAAATAACTTTTTGTTGGACATGTGACATGTATGGCTTGTTTGCTTGTTTGGGACTGTCGGGATCCAAGGCCATTGGTAGCTACATGTCTTCTCTCAAACCCGTCTTACTTATGTTGTAGCTAAAGTACAGATGATGTTAGAATGACATGCTTAAGTATAGCGATCTTTGAATGAATATAATGATGTCATCCACACGTGACCATAAGGTGAGCCTATGAAGCACCTGTAATATATCTGAGAACAGACCCTGCGGTTATCAGAATGTTCAGTCTACTCCGAACGACACTTGTATAAGTGAGTTACCCCACAGATATGACAAAGTGGGCCTATTTTCTCTTATCTTCTATCGCCAAGCTCTACTGTGGCACATAAACTTGGATACCTCTCCTCTCCGCCATGCCTCCCATCTGGCCGTTTAATTGATGCGCTGGAGCTCTAACATTCCTACTGAGTTCTTGAATCTACTCTAAGATGGAGGATGACACGTCTTCCGGCACGGTATGCTTGATATATCTATCCGTCATCACTGGCCAGGAAGCTCAGCTAACCCCACCTGTGTGTTTGCAGTACCAAAGCGACCTCGTCTCCGATCAATCATCAGTTTATATACTGGCCGATGAACAGCTATCCCGGTCATCATCTTGGTTTCTCAAGTTGCCCGCTGAAATCATCCACTCGATCCTCTCTTATCTCTCAGCACCAGATCTGGCCCGTGCCTCAGCCACTTGCCGGGCTCTCGTCGATCATGGATCCAGCGACCTGCTGTGGGCTGGCCTCGTCAACGCAAGACTTCCCTCCCCATTGAGGATCCAGGCGTTTTCCAATCCTTCCGTCGTCTGTATCTTGCGTACCATCCCTGCTGGTTTATACCGCAGCACAAGATCTGGTTTGCGGACAGTGAGAATACTGGATCCTTAATCCTGGCTCGCTATGATAACCGCCGGGGCGTGATTGAAGCATACCGGATCGTTGCAGAGCGTGGCACTCCCTCATTTGATGTTTGGAGGTCAAATCCAGACGTCATCATTCAATCTTTCGACCCAAACGTCCGTTTGTGGCTGGATGATCCTGTTCTCTTCCTCAAAGACCCAGAACCATTCTCTTCGACGGCGCGGATCCAAGCCTTAAGTTCTTTGCCCAAGGAACGTCGGATGCCCATGGCTTTGGAGGCCCAACATGTCTACAGTGCAATCTCATTCTGCTCTGCTACGGAACCACAGTCCGATGACTTCTGGCCACCCTCAATCATTCCCAGCAACTCACGAGTAAGTCGTGACCTCAGAGACCACCCTGGGGAGCCTGGTCCTCCCCAAGTCCCAAACTATCTCTCGGAGCTATCAGAGCATGCTTTCCGCCTGAGGAAATGGGCGAACTACCTGCACGTGTTCTCGTCCGACCCAAGAGAGGCCACTGTCACATATTCAACTCTTGACCCGAGCCTTTACACCCCCACCAAAGCGAAGCCCTACCAGGGAATATGGGTTGGCGACTACTCAGCTCACGGGTGCGAGTTCCTTCTGTTTCGTCAAACAGACCTAAGCAACGAAAGCGAGGGTCTGAATGAGATCATGGACACGGACCTCCCAAACGCGGATATTGTGCAGCAAGGTCGCCTAGAAGCCATCAAGCTCACAGGTGATCCCAATGTTCCCCGAGGCCAGTACTCATTTATCGCCGAAGATATTGGCCCCAATGGCCTGATTCGGGTCGCAACAGACGAGCCTTTTGTAGGCTCCCGCATTGTTCATTGCGGGGGACATGTAGCGGGACTAGGGTTCCGTGATGGTAAGTGATATTTCTTGCCAATAAGGATCACGTCTTCTAATTTAACATCAACAGATTGCTACATCAAGTCACAACTAATTCTCATTTCCCCCGACTTCATAGCTCACTATTGGGAGGAAATGGGCCACATCTCCTACTTCCGACGTGTGGATATTGACAATCTACTGAAGACTTGAGCGACCTTCTTTAGGATTTTTGTCGTGCTTTTGAACTTCTTGTATTTCCTACATACCCCTGACCGATTGCATTGCGTTTTGCCTTACCGAATTCACGCCCGACCTGCTCCAGTGATTATGACTATCATCTTTGAACGAAGAGTGTGACATGGATCTTGTATCATATCTTCCTAGGTAAAGAGGTCAGGAACCATCAAAACCATCATCACCTCGAACGCGCTGCATTTCCACTGTCGTATCGGCAGAACTTACCCTTCTAGCTCCAGCCCTGTGCCCATCCGTCTAGATACGCAAGCCCATCGCAAATGCCCACAGCCCGAAGTATCAAGCCCTGAAACAGCCAGCATCTAACCCACCCCGAAAAAAATAAGTAATTAGGCCAGGGACGAATCGTCTGCTAACCTCATGGATTTGTATGATAAAAAATAGGAATAGGACAAAAGGTATCGAAAAACAAGCTGTTCAATGCCAGGACGCCATGACCTCAAAACATCGGTCGAAAGTGGAGCGTAGATAATAATTGGTCGTCACTCGTCAATCCAGCCTTTGGGCGTGTACAAGCCCCAAGTCAAGAATAGACACCGTCCGCAATATTTACAAACTGATATCGTCACATCCCATAGGGTCAAGCAGGAGTAGCAAGTACAAGAATCTGCCATACTAGCTCAGCAACAACCCTACCACACACCATCCTCAGTTCCCATGCGAAAAGTATTGGTTGCTTCGGGGGTTGAGTATGTATTGTGCCAATCACCGGCGGCGCTCGAACCAGGCGGAGGAGCCCATGACGGCAACGGACTGATCCATCACCCACTCCCCGACGCCGAGGTAGTTATCGATCCATCGCTTGACTTCCTTGTTGTCTGAGATTTTGTCTGAGTTAACGCTGGGGCTGTGAAGTTCCCACGCGCACACTACCCAAGGATGGGGTGCGCGGGGTGACAGAGTTAGTCCACGGTCCTTGGTATATATTCCACGTTTCCCAGTGCAATGGAGGGAAACCATCGGGCTCAGAGGAGAGAGATCATGGGGGGAGGGTGTATTTACGTGAGGCCTGTGGATCGCTTGACACCTGCCAGGAAGGCGGAGACTGGAGTTTGGGATTAGTTTGGACTCTGGGTAAGTAGTATGTAAACACCACTTACAGAGGACCGCATCGAATGCGTAGTGGGTGAGACGGCCGAACTAGGTAGCAATAAAGAGTCGGAGTCAGTCATGCTTCATGTTTCATGCCCAAGTGGATCGGGAAGCTCGGCTGCCAGAGATAGACCAGCAGGGATTTCTCACCATGTTCAAAGAGTAGTAAAGATCAATTCTGTGGAAAGTGGAGCAATTTGACCGTCACCCAGAGCCTGGAGATACACGGGAAGAAGTGATCTAAGCTGTCATGGGGATGGGCATAAGCCAATATGGTCACGTGAAGATTCACATGACGTCCATCAAGTGTGGCTGGAGTGAGGCTGGGGATTGTGATGACATAATATTCAACGGTGGCGGGGTGATTGCTACCCCCAGGGCGCTAATCCGATTTCGGTCGATAAGCTCTCCCACCGAGAACCGTTTTGGCTCGATCAATTAAGTGCCTGTATTTGTCACGTTTATTCGATAGAGGTCTGGAGGGGACTCCAATGTACCGCGCGAAAGACAGCACGGGGCACTCCGTCCTCCGCTTTTTTTGCAGTCTGAAGTGTCCAAGTATAATTTTTTTTCTGCCTAAACGGGCATCCCGCCCGCTGCCGACCTCCACACGTCTTTCGGTGTAGAGCTACAGATAGTTGGGAAGAGGAAAAAGTACAGAGTAGACCAAGAAAATGTGTGAATTGATAGGGTAGATTACGGTCCAAGACCACTAGTAGAGACAAAAGCAGAATTGGGATGCGGCCGGAGATGTTCACACCGGCGGCCAACATTTTCCCTCCCGCCCCTCACCCAACTTCCGTTTTCTCTTCCCCTCTCATCCTTTTCTCTCCATCCTTTCTGATCCTCAATTTGATCAGCTCTCACCTTTCCCCTTTCTCCTAAAAGAACTTCTTGTTCATCACATCAAAATGGCGGCCACCAGCTCCCTCGACCACCTGAGCAACCGCATGAAGCTGGAGTGGCACTCCAAGCTTAACACCGAGATGGTGCCTGCGAAGAACTTCCGCCGTACCTCCATCATCGGTACCATTGGTATGTCATTCTGTCAACCCACTTTACAATTCCAGCCTGTGGAAAAAAACATCCTGGACAAGAATACCCCGCTGACAGGCAATCGATAACAGGTCCCAAGACAAATTCGGCCGAGAAGATCAATGCTCTCCGCACAGGTACGGCAATACTTTCTGATGGGGTAAAGTTGTTTAGAAGGGGTAAACTGACTCGGTCACAGTTGGTCTCAACGTCGTTCGCATGAACTTCTCCCACGGTTCATACGAAGTCAGTATCTGCAATTCAATGTGCTTATCGGAATTTGCTGACATGTCCGCAGTACCACCAATCTGTCATTGACAACGCCCGTGAGGCCGCCCGTCTCCAGGCTGGCCGTCCTCTCGCCATTGCCCTCGACACTAAGGGCCCCGAGATCCGTACCGGTAACACCGTCGGTGACCAGGATTTCCCCATCAAGGAAGGCACCATCCTCAACATCACCACCGATGAGGCATACGCCACCGCCAGTGACGATAAGAACATGTAAGATTCCCTCCTTTGATGACAGATTGGGTTCGACGTTTGGCCTAGCTGGACTCGATATTTTTTGGTTCGGTTTGTGGCGTGGACTGACAACGACGATAGGTACCTTGACTACAAGAACATCACCAAGGTGATCTCTGCTGGCAAGCTCATCTATGTCGACGACGGTATCCTGTCCTTCGAGGTGATCGAGGTTGTTGATGAGCAGACCCTGAAGGTCAAGTGTCTGAACAACGGCAACATCTCCTCCCGCAAGGGTGTCAACCTTCCCGGCACTGACGTAGACCTTCCCGCTCTGTCGGAGAAGGATATTGCCGATCTCCGTTTCGGTGTTAAGAACAATGTTGACATGGTCTTTGCCTCATTTATCCGTCGCGGCAGCGACATCAAGCACATCCGCGAGATCCTCGGCGAGGAGGGCAAGGAGATCCAGATCATTGCCAAGATTGAGAACCAGCAGGGTGTCAACAACTTCGATGAGATTCTTGAGGAGACCGACGGTGTCATGGTCGCCCGTGGTGACCTTGGTATCGAGATCCCCGCCCCCAAGGTGTTCATCGCCCAGAAGATGATGATCGCCAAGTGTAACATCAAGGGCAAGCCCGTCATCTGTGCCACTCAGATGCTCGAGTCCATGACGTACAACCCCCGCCCCACTCGTGCTGAGGTTTCCGATGTTGCCAACGCCGTTCTCGACGGTGCTGACTGTGTCATGCTGTCTGGTGAGACCGCCAAGGGTAACTACCCTTGCGAGGCCGTCAAGATGATGTCCGAGACTTGTCTGTTGGCCGAGGTCGCCATCCCTCACTTCAACGTGTTCGATGAGCTCCGCAACCTCGCTCCCCGCCCCACTGACACCTCCGAGTCCATTGCCATGGCTGCCGTCAGTGCCAGTCTGGAGTTGAACGCTGGTGCCATTGTTGTCCTGACTACCAGGTAAGTCCCGCAAACAAATCCTCCATGAAATGATGCTGACAAGATCACAGCGGCAAAACCGCCCGCCTTCTGTCCAAGTACCGCCCCGTCTGCCCCATTCTGATGGTCACCCGTAACGCCACCGCTTCCCGCGTAAGTTGGAATCGAATAGTCGAGTGTCGTTCTCTGCTGACAAGTCTTCCAGTACTCCCACCTGTACCGCGGTGTCTGGCCCTTCTACTTCCCCGAGACCAAGCCCGACTTCAACGTCAAGATCTGGCAGGAGGATGTCGACCGCCGTCTCAAGTGGGCCATCAACCACGGTCTCAAGCTCGGCATCGTCAACAAGGGCGACCCCATCGTCTGTGTCCAGGGATGGCGCGGCGGTATGGGCCACACCAACACCGTTCGTGTGGTGCCCGCCGAGGAGAACCTTGGCCTGTCCATGGAGTAAAGGGTAAAATCATCTATTAGATGGTAAGCTTTATGATCCGTTCTTTGTTTACCGCCGGTGTGCGGATGGGATACATACCTCTTTTCTTGTTTCGAAGCCAAGTTTCTTCTTCGCTGTGGTCTGGACCATGGCTCGTCCTTTGGAAGGTTAATGCATTGCTCATGTAAATGAAACGAATTTCAATGTTCTCAAGTTTTCAATATTCTCCGATTAGTAGATATGTTAGTAGTGTCCTGGTTAGTGAAGTCTGGCTGTTTGAATAGACCTTGATCTGATCTGATCTGTCCGAGTATCCGTAGAGTCCTCGCGCAATCTGTCGCAATTTGTCGCGTGCCGAAAGTCTGCAGCGCAGAGATACTGTATCCAGCACAGAATCTCACACCAATCTCACAGAAGCGCATCTGCACTCAAACCGAAGAATCAAGCAAAGCAAAGAAAAAGAACAGAAGCGAAAACTCGACGAAAACCAAAATGCGGGGGACCCGAGAGTGGCATGGTGTTCTGACCGAGGCCCATTAACCCGAGGATGTGACGATCTCACCCGACACCCTGCAGCGCACATTCGGATCCCTTCTGGTGAACGTGTATGTATATGCGCTTGTTGCGAACTCAACAGTTGAGAGTTGAAAATAAGATTAAAAAGGAAATTACCAGCAGAAGAGCTCTTTTCCAATGACTAAATGCATTTCCCGAATATCCCGTCCCGCGTCCCGGTTTTTGCCGATGGCTCCATGGGAGGTGATTATGGACTGGGTTTGTGTGATTGGGGGAGAGTATACTAAAAATGTTAGCTTCATAATATAGTTTGAGCGAATAAAGATCAAAGAAAAAGTCCCAGTGGAAAGTGATGCTCGATAAATGGAGATTAAGTTACGGAGAGTCCGCAGTGTATCTTATATGATAGACCGTGTTGCTATACAGTATATACATATTTAAGCAACTCGGTTTTGTATCACAG